CAGGGACATCACACAGGGCCAGGGACATCACACAGGGCCAGGGACATCACACAGGGCCAGGGACATCACACAGGGCCATGGACATCACACAGGGACATGGACATCACACAGGGACATGGACATCACACAGGGACATCACACAGGGACATCACACAGGGACAGGGACATCGCACAAGGACAGGGACATCGCACAGGACACAGGGACAGCAGCTCTGCCCAGAATCACAGCGCACACCCTGCAGCTCAGGATTGCACTGAGAGCTCCCCAGCCAGGAATCCTCAGGGTCCCTGGGCCAGCAGCAGGAGGGGAAGGACCAGGGCTGAGGGCTCTTATCAGCTGATTGATGATAAAGGCATTTTTCCTGGGGGACCTCTGAGCACCTGCCTGATGACATGCATGCATGGAGACTTTGCTGCTACTCTGTACCTTTCTCACAAATGCCTTCCAGCCTTGCCCTGCCAAAAAGAGGATTTCTTTTTCAAAGAGAGCACACTGTGATCCCCCACTACTGTGCTCTCATTTTATCTTGTTCTTCTCCTGGAAGAAAACTTTTCTGATGCTTCTTTATTATTTATTAAATTGAAAGCATTGCTTTCAGTGTAAGTCTAGACAATGAAAAACCCTGAAATTCCTTCTAAAATCCGCCAATTATTCTGTAATTATTTTAATGTTATGAATGGCTTTTTTATTTGTTTTTGGGGGGTTTTGGTTTTTTTGTTTGGTTGTTTGGGGTTTTTTTGTTTGTGTTTTTTTCAGGGGGAATCTCTTGCAGTAGTTTTTGCCTTGTTAATTCTCACTGGTCTCTTTTTAGTGCTTCAGGGTGGCTGAGCTTAACCGAGCAGAGTTTTGTTATCAGACACCAGACCTTGGGTCACCTGCTGACAGCCTGACCCTGCTGTGATGCAGAATCACAGCCACAATTCCAGTTGCTCAGGAATCCATCCCAAAAGCTCTGTGACAGAGGTGCCCTAAGAGCTGTTCCCAAGATCCCTGGAGGGCAGGAAGGGGAATGTTTGGAGGGAAGGGAAGCTGGTGGGAGGCAGCACTGACCTGGGTGTGTGACAGGACAATGGGGGAGTGGAAGATGGTCCAGATGACGCTCTCGGAGCACGGGGGGGTGGTCAGGGAGCCCTGGTACCTGTAGAAGTGGGAGAGGTTTTCTGGCAGCATGGCCTGGATGTCCAGAGAGCTCAGCGTTGTTGATTGACCTCCAAAGGAAGCAGAGAGGACACCAGGAGTTAATGGGGAGGGAAGAGAGAGGTCAAAGTGCTCTTGGAACCAGGGGTGGCAAATCCCCCTGGCCAGAGCTCATCAGGCCTTTGGTGGAACTGGGTGGAGATGGAGAGGCCCTTTGTGAGCCTGTGGTTTGTCAATCAGAGATGTCTGGGTCTGGGTGCTCCCAGAGCTCTGCCAGTCCTGGGGGTGTGCTCAGGAGGCATCAGGGGGTGTTGCAGGCTGCAGGAAGCTGATATTTGGTGCTGCACAGCTCCAGGAGTGCATTTATTGCTGCCCTGGGCTGTGTGGCTGGAGCTGTGCAGGGCTGAGGATGCTCTGCCAGCACAGCAGCAGGAAAATGTCTGTTCCCAGAGGCAGTGTGTACACACGGGCTGGGAGTGTCAGGGACAAAGGCATTCCCAGGTCTTACCTGCAAACCTGATCCTTGCCAGCTTGGAAATGAATTCGCTGTAGTAGGTGTTCTCAAAGTGCCCATCCTAAACACAGCACAGACACTTGATCAAAAGTTATCTTCTGATATCTGCCCGTTATTCTCACTGCTAATCAGCTGGGGGGGGCTAACTCATGGGCTGGGAGACAAAAACCAAACACCACCACAGATCTCCTGATGGGCTGGACAGTGCAAGGCATGGTCAGGTTTGTACAGCTTGAGTAGAATACTGATCAGGACTCTTTTTTACTGCTTTTAAATCCACACTGAATCAAGTGTTCCCAGGGGGAAAGCAGAGCAAGGCTTGGAGGCACAGCAGGGAAACCCCAGCTGCCATATCTGATATTCTTATATATGGGATATATCTCTATATATCTATATCTATATCTATATTGATATATAGATATAAATAAAATCCTACTTATGGGGTTTTCTGGGGCTCCCAAGGGATATGTGTGAAGCCCAGATGGCCCAGGGGAAGCAGCACAGCCTCCTAAAGAGGTGCCAGACCCCATCTCTTGGGACAGCTGTACAAACCTGGCCAGGGCTGCTGTGTGTCAGGGAGGTTTAGCCCAGGCAGTGTCAGCACAGCCAGCACATCCAGCTCAGCCAGCACAGCCAGCACAGGCAGCACAGCCAGCACATCCAGCTCAGCCAGCACAGCCAGCACAGGCAGCACAGCCAGCACATCCAGCTCAGCCAGCACAGCCAGCACAGGCAGCACAGCCAGCACATCCAGCTCAGCCAGCACAGCCAGCACAGGCAGCACAGCCAGCACATCCAGCTCAGCCAGCACAGCCAGCACAGGCAGCACAGCCAGCACATCCAGCTCAGCCAGCACAGCCAGCACAGGCAGCACAGCCAGCACATCCAGCTCAGCCAGCACAGCCAGCACAGGCAGCACAGCCAGCACATCCAGCTCAGCCAGCACAGCCAGCACAGGCAGCACAGCCAGCACATCCAGCTCAGCCAGCACAGCCAGCACAGGCAGCACAGCCAGCACATCCAGCTCAGCCAGCACAGCCAGCACAGGCAGCACAGCCAGCACATCCAGCTCAGCCAGCACAGCCAGCACAGGCAGCACAGCCAGCACATCCAGCTCAGCCAGCACAGCCAGCACAGGCAGCACAGCCAGCACATCCAGCTCAGCCAGCACAGCCAGCACAGGCAGCACAGCCAGCACATCCAGCTCAGCCAGCACAGCCAGCACAGGCAGCACAGCCAGCACATCCAGCTCAGCCAGCACAGCCAGCACAGGCAGCACAGCCAGCACATCCAGCTCAGCCAGCACAGCCAGCACAGGCAGCACAGCCAGCACATCCAGCTCAGCCAGCACAGCCAGCACAGGCAGCACAGCCAGCACATCCAGCTCAGCCAGCACAGCCAGCACAGGCAGCACAGCCAGCACATCCAGCTCAGCCAGCACAGCCAGCACAGGCAGCACAGCCAGCACATCCAGCTCAGCCAGCACAGCCAGCACAGGCAGCACAGCCAGCACATCCAGCTCAGCCAGCACAGCCAGCACAGGCAGCACAGCCAGCACATCCAGCTCAGCCAGCACAGCCAGCACAGGCAGCACAGCCAGCACATCCAGCTCAGCCAGCACAGCCAGCACAGGCAGCACAGCCAGCACATCCAGCTCAGCCAGCACAGCCAGCACAGGCAGCACAGCCAGCACATCCAGCACATCCAGCACAGCCTGCACAGGCAGCACAGCCAGCACATCCAGCACATCCAGCACAGCCAGCACAGCCAGCCCCAGGCTGGCTCACACGTACCGTGTACAGGAAAGCCAGCACAGCCAGGCCCTGGGGCTTGTCTTTGGCTTCCTCAAAGCTGGAGTAGTTCGCAGAGTTGTAGTGGACAATGTGCAGCTGCGGAGGGAGACGGGGTCGTTCAGCAAGGAGTGATGAATGGCTTCTGGGTGTTCAGAGGGACAGACTGAGGGGACAGCCACCACCCCGATTCCTGCTGCTTTGGGACCTTTGGGTTGACAGGTTTCTGGTGGCTGTGGGGGAACAGCTCCACCTCTGAAGGACACGGGTGCCCTTGCCGTGGCTTTTCTTGGAGCCTTCTGTGCCAGCAGCGTCAGGCTCAGCCCTCCCATTGCACCAACCCCCTGTGGGAGCCCCTTGGCTCGGCATTGCTCCCTGCAGGCTCTGTGGGGTGCAGCTCCCACCTCCCTGTGCCAGAGCCCCCGGGCCCTCCCTGCACCAACCTCGGCGAAGTAGCGCATCCCGTCGATGGTGTGCTCGGAGCCACTGGTCTCCAGGTCCAGCCCACCCCAGTGCAGGTGCATCTGGACAGCTGTGTAGACACCTGGGAGCCCTCTGGAGATGTTCAGGGTGGGTGGCAAATCGATCTGAACTGAAGAATGGCAGGGTTGGAGGCAGCAGTGGGTGCAGCCTTGCCCAGCCCTGTAGCGGCTCCTGCGGTGCCCGTGGCACCTCCTGGAATGAGCAGGACCCCAGTGTGGGAGGGAAAACGGGGAAGTTTCGAGCTGGGTGTGCTTCAAAGCTTTCCTGGGCTCAGGCTGGTGCAGCAGGGCAGGCACAAGAGGGACTGGGCTCTCCCCAGCTGTGCCTGCAGACCCCTTCTCCCCCAGCAGCTCCGGGTTTGGCTCAGGCACCAGTGAGCGCTCGAATGCTCAGCTCTCACTCAGCACAGCACATCTGGCACACCTGGCACGTCTGGCACATCTGGCACAGGCCTGTTAACCACTTCCTTCCCAAGGCAGAAAAGGGGAATAGGAACCAACACAGTGCCTGGCCTCATCCCTTTCCACAGTTCCCAGTGAGGCCCAGCCGTTCTGTCGGTTTGAAAAGGCTGCGTCATTGCTGATGGATTTGGGGAGACAAACCTCTTTTCTTCTCCTTGCCAAGAAGAAGTCACAAACCTTCTGTCTTCCTGCTAATTCACTGCCAGAAATCATAGATTATGTTAATAAATCTGGGGGTGAAAGTGGAGAATTGCCTCATCTAAATGAAAGCCCCCAGCATGTTCTAAAAGCTAGCAACTATCCTTGCAAAATGCAGCACAACATATTATTAATTAGTCACAGTTTGGGTTTCTGAGGAGTTTCTTTTGTTTGTGAACTGTTTATAGACAGACAAGATGAAAGCATGTTTCCTTTCAATATCCCAAAGGCTCTAGAGTGGGAGGGATAAAATAATCTACCTTTTTCATAAATTCCCTGCTGACTGCCTTCCATAATGAGGGTTATTTACTTCAAGTACCTCACCAGGGTTTCTGCTTTCTACAAAACACAGCTAGGGAATTGTGTTGTGAGTTTGTAACAAGCTTAAGACTCCTCTAAGATACTCTAGGCAAATACTTGCTGCAAGCACAAGGTCGGGAGTAACCTGGTTTGCTTCTGCTTTTCACCCACGTGGAGTGACTGCTCTGAGCTGGCAACGCCTCAATCCTGCTTCACCCTGGCTCTGCAGGATGGAGAATCAGCTGGGGATGTGCAGGATGGAGAATCAGCTGGGGATGTGCAGGGTGAGAATCAGCTGGGGATGTGCAGGGTGAGAATCAGCTGGGGATGTGCAGGATGGAGAATCAGCTGGGGATGTGCAGGGTGAGAATCAGCTGGGGATGTGCAGGGTGAGAATCAGCTGGGGATGTGCAGGGTGAGAATCAGCTGAGCCTTCCCCAGCATCGCTGCCCTGCAGAGTGCTCTCTGGCCACCCCTGCCCCAGCACAGCCAGCCTTGGCTGCCCAGCTCTGGCCCTGAGTTAGTGAGGGCCAACTCCAGGTCCCAGTTAAATTTGCTCCTGGAGGAGGATGCACACATGGATGACATTTTAATTTTTCAGAGCTGTGCTTGTCCTAGGTACCTGCTGGAGGAGCAACCCTCTTGAAAAGGAAAAAGAAAGGTGCAAAAGCAAAAGGCTTTGTTAACCCAAGGCTCTCACCTTGGGTCCTGAGGGACTCACAACGTGGCAAACAGGCGTTTTCAGGTGGGATTTAGCCTGCTGCTAACACACCTACAGAAAAAATGAACCTGGTTTCCTGGGTGAGACATCTGGGGTTTGGCTCTGAGAGCCTGTAGGGAGAGTCCTGCTGATAAATCCCTCTCCTGTCCCTTTCAGATCTGCTGAGTGTTTTCCCTGAGAGATTCTGCTGCCCTGTCCCATCTCACTGAAGCCAGTAGAAAAACCCAGCCTGACTCACAGGAGCTGTGAATAGGGACACTCGTTTGTCTTTGTGCTTTAGGAAACTGCCCCGCATCAGAAAATCATTGTTGGGAAGTTAACAAAAGAATGCACAAATACACACATGCAGTCAAAAAAGCTAAACCTGCAAGAATTAATGTCTAGGCAGGCAGGGCAGCAGTGCTGACAGAGAGCTTCGGGCTGAACGCCGAGTTTGTGTGGGCCACACAAAAGGAGTTACCATTTTCAGGACCACAATCACAACAGTCTCTGCTGGCACTTGGTCTCTCATCACTGCCCTGCCCTCACACCGAATTTCCCTCTCTGTTGCAGGCAGAGCTGCTGTGCAGGACTCAAGAGTCGACAGCTTTATGTTCCCAACACCTTCCCAAAACCACCCATCCTCTGTCCCCTGCAGCCATCAGAAACTTCCCTCATTGCTCATCTGTAGTCCAGAGGCATTATCCCCATAGTAGCAGCTGATGAATTATTTAGGCAATGAATTACAGATTGCAGCAGGGGAATCTGGGATCTCCTAAAATGATAAGCAGTGCCCTGAAAGTGTGTAGCCAAAGGCTGGGATTTTAACACGTGCTGTGCTTCAGTTTCCTGTCCTGAGCCCCAAAATACCAATCCTCTGGCTGTGTTCTACTGGGTGACCTACATCCAGCCAAAGCTGGGATGCAAAGGTTCCATTCCTGTCACTTCTGATTAATGCACAGGCCAAAAGATGCATTTTTCTGAATGCAGAGGAGTCAGCGTGCCCCAAACACCACTCACTGCTGCACTCCTGTTGTCTTGCAGCACATTAAAGGAAAGGGTCAACTTGGAATTCTGCAGCTGCATTCTATCTCCTTTTCATGTCAGACAGAGAAAATACCTTGCAGAAACCTAACTGCCTTGTATTTGTCTGGTTTATTTATGTACTTCTAGAGAGCTTTCCTGCGTGATTGAGGAAAGCAGCAAACCCAAGAGAGCAGAATGAAGCGAGATGGCAAAGTAAGGCGAGTTCACAAAAAGGGGGCAATGTCTGTGAGTGCATTTCCAGAGCTGAAACAAAAGATTGTTCCTGCAGTGCCCTGAGCCTTACCTGAGTGGCCAGTGTTGGTCATCCTGAAGTGGCCCTGCAAGGACCCATCGTAGCCACCGAGCTGCAGCTGCAGCAGGGGGTTGTACCTCACTTTCCTCCTCTGGATGTCGATGGGGGATTGCTGCTTGCCAGCACAGTCGGGGAAGTGCTGTCCCCAGTGCTCTTCATCCAGCTCTCCTTCTCCTGGAGGGGAGGCAAGGCAGGTGTCAGGGCTGTGCTGTCAGTCAGGAGTCAGAGCACTCTCCCCATCTGCCAGCAGGAATTGCCAATCTCATTACTGTAACGCCAGGAGCTGCAGCCAGAAGAGGCTGCTTCGCCTTCCCCAGAGTGAAAATACACATTATTGTGTCTGCAGGACAGCTGTGCTGCAAAGTAAGAAACCTGCATTGCAGCAGCGGCTCGGTGGCTGCTGGAGGCTGAACCTCACCAGAAGATTCAGTGTTCACATGGAAATGGGGATTTCAATGGGTCCCAACTGCCAGAGGTGTGGAATTGGCTTCTTAACCAGAGCAGTGAATAGGATCAGGGTGATAGGCAGGAAGGCTCAGCTCGGGATCAGGAACTGACAGCAATTAGCTATTTTTAACTAGGGAGAGAGCAATTGCAACATTGCAACTCTTCAACAATATCCTTTGTTTTAACTTAGCCCACTGAAAACCGTAAAAGAATTAACATTTACTTCAGTGAGCTCTGCAAACAACCCCCGACACAAATTAAATTTAGATAAAATTTCACCAAAAAATATAAATACTTAAATAAGTACTTCTTAGTGCTCTGTACTGTCTGGGATAGGACTAAAATAAGAAGCAGGCAGTATTTAAATCAGCATTTAAAGCTTTTCCTTGCAGGATCATCCAAAGGGCAGCTTTTCTTCTAACACATTCTAAAGATTTCCCCCATTGTTTGAACCTCGTTGTGCTGCCAACCCTGACAATGTGTCCCAACCACACAAAGGAGGAAAAAGAGGTGACATTGAGGAGAATCACTTTCAAGCCATGGAGGCATCAATAAAGTGGAATAAAAT